CCTGTAATTTATTTTTGACTTATAATGTGTTTGTATAATGTTACACGTAATTACTTTCATCTACACTGTGCTAAGTCTGTAATTGGCCTTGCGGCTGTTGACTTGGCACATAAATAATAAAGAATTGAATTGAATTGAATTGAAAATTACCTCCGCTGATCATGACCGTGGTGGTTCAGAGCTATCAGAAGAGACTTTGTATGAGTCAGTAAAAGTCAAAATTTCAGCAGAGATGTAGAAAAATGAGTGAGAAAGCGAATGAGTCAACGTGGGAATGTGAAATTACCCGCTGGAATGGGTAATAGTATTGTATTTCATAGTGGTGTATGAGTACTAGGAATTTTACTGAGTAAAATCCAGTGAATTTGAAAATTTTTATTGCAAGTACTCGGACTGTGTCAAACACCTGATTAATTCTGCACTCATATCTAGTCTAATTATAGATTCTAATAAAGCCACCATATACTTTGGAATCCATTGTATTTCATTAACTTTACAAATTTAATTATGTGGCAAGGAGAAGGAATGGGAGGCTTTTAGGGGAAGAATGAATATCACCAAAAGAAATCATTGACATCTAACTGTGTGACTTGGGGATTCCTCCTTCCAACATACTCAGTTGAATATTTGCAAGGACTATGTTTCCTTTCTCTGTATTACGGGATCTGACACCTAAGTGACTAAAATGCATCCATAGGAAAGAAGTAATATCTTTGCATCCATTTACCTGTATAGTACAAGTTCACAAGAAAGTCCATGTATTTTATGAGCCAGTGTAAGTCACACCTTGTGTAGTAAATCTTGTGAAAGAAATGTCTTGTGTAACTTGTGCCATTGTGTTTCAATTATGAATACCTGAAATATGTGGAAAATGGAACCTAGTAAACTTCTAATGGTGATGTAATAGTCTGTATCACTGACAAAGATGTGCCCTTGTTGCCATGATGTGCTGAGTTTATTAGATGAATTTCCTTGAACCTAGATGCAGTAATTCTTGTTTCATGTGCGTTCAGGACAAAGTCTGTAGTACTCTACATGTAGGCATGGCCAAACTGAACTTATGAAATAAAAGAATAGAACGGTTCATTGTGTAGGAAATTGTTACATGAGAAAACATTTGACCCTAAAGAGTAAAAGTAAGCTATCCCTATAACAAGCCGTGAAGGCCCTTAGGGTTGTGAGACGTTGAGGGTCCCACATTATCTAGACATTCAGCTCAAAGATGGCAATAAGGTTGTTAGCCTTACTCATCAGGAAAATTAGTTAATTAATTCCTGGTACTCATTTCTGTTAGAGGCTTTGTCGACCCCAGGGCCATAGTGCGGCTTTAAGGATTAGGTCAATTGAAAAAAATCCAGTGACCTCATTGGGACTTGAGCCCGTGACCTTCTGGCTTGTAGCATAGTGCCTCAACCAACTATACTACCGTATATCTGTTTAATTGTGTTTGTAGTGTTTTTTTTTGGGGGGGGGCATTTGAACAGTTAACAAAGTACAAAGGAAACTAATTTGTAAATTTGTGTGGTGTTGGTGTTGTCTGTAAATGGTCAGCTTTGTTACACTAGTTTGTTTACACACTAATAGCTTTATGATTATGGTAAAGGGATGTAAAGGCAAACGAGGTGGAAATAATCACAGAGCATTATTTGAAAAATAAGTGTCATCTACTGCAATATTGCAGTGCCCACTATCTCTTTTTGTTCACGTACTGTTTAAATATATAATTACAGGAAAGTCGTGATGTGAAGTGTTGTATGTACATATGCATTACTTTTTTGAGTACGCAGACATGAATGTTACATTTGTCTCACTATTAAATAAATATAGAGTGTGTTTGAATACTTTGAAATATCAACGTGCAGAATTTAACAGATATGAATTTTACTTGTTTGTATATATCCAGCATTAAAATTATACGTAAAAGAAATGGGAATATTACGTTGATATTTCATACATTTCAAAATTACTAGTGTAACATCGTTAAGAATTCAAATTGGTCATGCAGTGGGAAATCTCATACTATTAATCGTCTTCTGATTTCTCATGCATTTTTTCAAATTCTACATGTTGTTTAACAGCTGTTCCCAAGAGAAATATGCATAAATAGTCATTCATAACGACCCTCCTCTATGTAGTATACTACATTTCACATATTCAAATTAAATAATATTACTATTCAAGAACAGACACTGTACACTTAAACACAAGTTACTTGCTTGTCATCACTGTATTTTTTTCAATTGACCTAATCCTTCCAGCCGCACTATGGCCCTGGGGTTGACTCAGCCTCTAACAGAAATGAGTACCAGGAATTAATTAAATAATTTTCCTGGGGAGTAAACTCAGCCGGCGCATAAGGCTGACAACCTTACCGCCATCTTTTTGTGATTATAGTGATAATATTTTTGTATTTGTATTTGTATTTGTATTTATATTTGTTCAAGANAGTTAATATATAATGAACATCACTGTAGCTCACCTGTTCTGTAGAAGCTTGTAAACAGTTTGCAATAACACAACTAGCACTATGCTACAAGCCAGAATGTCACGGATTGTATTTTTCATTTGACCTAACCCTTCCAGCCACACTATGGCCCTGGGGCTCAACTCAGCCTCTAACAAAAATGAGTACCAGGAATCTTTCTGGAGGTAAAGAGCAGCCAGCGTGTAAGGCTGACAGGCTCACCACCATCTATGAACCGATTTTGTAGACAATGTAGGAGCCTTGACGTCTCACAGCTATGTGGGCTCCATGGCCTGTTACAGGAATAGCTTTTAGCTTTAAGATTGAATTATATTAATTAAACTATGTAACACATTTAATTAAAGGCACAACTAATATTGTAATTTTTATATATGTGTAAGGGTGGGCCATAGTATTTGCCTCTTGCACCATGACCATCTCTGATCTATTGTGCTTAATTATTATATAAGCATGAGCAGGAGTGTGAGTGGGAAAGATGTATGTAGACACAGTTTGTCTAGTTCCACACCTTTCAGTCTAAGAAGTTAAATCGTGTATCTAAATCTGGGCATAGCAATGAGACATGTAAGAACAAGTCACCTTTATCTCACAATATGTAAACTGTGCAGTAACATCTTTGATAATCAGCACCTCATAGGTGGATAGACCTAGATCCTAGCGCTTGTCTATACTTGAGTGTCCTCATAGATCTGAGAAGCCATTTCCACCTCTGGGAATGATAGTTCATAGATCGAACAAAAATATTGCTGGCATACACATTGTTTAGTTTTGAAAACTGAATTCAACTAGATAACTGGAAATTACCACACCTTTAAATCAATAAAATAATTCATTATAAACATATATGTCTCCAATGCTGATAACTTCATATGGATTGATATCCCCAATCACAGGTCTGACATTCAAGCTACTCAAATCTAGTTAATTTCTGAGCAAGCAGTGATGCCTGGGTGAATGCATCATCATTTTACCAATGGAATAATATCTTGTAAAGGAAATAATCAAGTGAGCAGACTCATCAGTAGGGCAAGTATTTTGCAGGCAACCGGCGCACTGCATCAGTTCGGTCGGTGGGCTACAGCGATCTCTTTGTCCTCTCGAAGACTGATATGTGGGATGTGCTGAAGGAGTATCCAGCTGCCAGGGTGCGGCTTGAGGCCATCGCTGTCAAGCGCCTTGAGAAGTACAAGAGGGCGCCGCTAGAGAGGGGTGAGTATTATTTACAATACTGGTTATTTATTCTTCCATGCTCTGTTTTTCAGAGTAACAAGTTTTGGTGTGGTTGATTCTTCAGTCATCAAAATCAGTCTCATTAGAAGAAATCCTACAGACAGCAGCAAATGGATTTTATATGCCACGTAACCGTGTTTGTCTCATATTTTGTTCCTTTTATACTTCCAATAGTGACTTTCAGGTAATGGTCCATGATAGTCCAACAGTTTGCTTTAGATGCTTCAATGTGTATACCTTCTTGACGTATTTAGACATTAAGAAGTGTATCTCTTTTGAAAATATTGAGATGTTCATGGCAGTGAAAAATAATACTGTGGTCTGCCTGGCTACTTAATCTTGTGGGCAGTTACCGAGGTTTTCAAGAACATGCTGCCTTCATGTTTGGGGTTGAAAACTACACCACGGTCTCAGTACAAGTATACCTCTTTTATTTTGAATGAAAATTGATTTCACCCTGGTTGGGAATGGAATCATTGCTTTAACTTTTAGAAAGAAAATATTAACCATCAGACAATGCCAGATCTATGAATAAGCTGTAATCTCACATTTCAGAACATGCTGTATATATTATATTATTAAACTAATATTATTTTGAAACCGTTAATAGATGTGGCATTGAAATTAATGTAAAACGAAAAAAAAAATATGTGATATTCAAACGTGAACGAAACATTTGTTTCTCAACATATCCTACACCAGCAGCGATGCACTTGCCCCTTTCTTTACCCATGCATTGAAACCCGCAGCATAGAAGTCTTTTGCCTGTTTTCTCAGCCACTTCCACACCTGGTCGGGCATCATGTGCAACTTTTGACCTTCCTTGAGAGAATTTCTCAACCCAGTTGTTAACTGCTTTACACGACAAACACTTCCCACCATAAACAGGAAACAGTCCTTTATGAATATCGTTTGCATTGAGTCCTTTTGCCACAAACAACGCACAAGAGAAGCTGCTCTTCGGTAGACTACTCCTCAAGCATGGTCGCCATTTTGACTACTGAAACCAGCCTCTGAACATGCACATGCTCTTCTGCTACATATTCTTTCATGAAGCTGGATTGTGCTGCTACCTAGTGATACACATAAAAACCTATTACATCCATTACAGCTGTTTTTCTTCTAATTGTGACCTATTTACTGACTCTCCCTGATACCTTGGAAACAAAATTAACTGTTAAGCAGAGCTCTCTCTTCTGGGTTATAACATTCTGCACTCCTTTTAAAGTCAACTGATGCTTTAGAAAAACATGTCTCCTCCCTTTTAAGGGTCAAAGAATAAGTTAAGCAAGAAACCAGTGTGAAACAGGCGGCTGCAGAATTTGTTGTTGGTTTCTTGCTTTTCTTTCTTCAGCCCCAAAGATGGAGGCAACATGTTCCACCAGAACTTTGACTATCGGTGGACTGCACACTGTTATACACGTACTTCAAGAGATAGAACGCTCAGTAACTACTGCTCTGAGAACCTGAAATCCTTCAACATTTACTACTGCTCAGAATTCAATTGTTTATTGCTGAATACCAAACAACAGTGAAATCTATATAAATGGTAAAACAAGTTTTAACAAAATCGACACTTTTCATTACGGTTTCCTAGTTCATGTGCAGTCATTTTCATGAAGGTACCTCTATTCCATTTTATTTAGGGAGATGATGTCCATGAATTAACTAAATTTAATCAGGAAAATCGCCATTTTATACTTTTGGACATATTTAAAGGACCCTTATTTTTGAAACTGGAATGTTCATATTCTTGGAATATTGACCTATAATGGACACACTCTTGACTACTGAGCTGACAAGAGACCCACTTAGCAGAGACAAAATATGTTTTAGTTCAGAAATATTGTTAATATGATTAACAACTGATATATTTCTGAGGGCATTAGTTACTCCAGGTGTTTGAAATGATCTTTCAAAAGAAAAGAGTAATATAATATAAACAATAAATACACACTTCCAATTCTTCATCATGTGTACATGTAGACCTATCAGGGAAAAGGAACAGTTCTACAAAAACAGGGCATCCACTCATACTGTATGAATTGTTCCCAGTTTTGATAACAAAATGTTCAGCAATGTAAGATTGCCTGGTGCAGCTCAGCTGAGGATCAAACAAACTGTGACCTGTAGTCCGCAAGCTAACTATACCGACCGAGCGACTGCCACTTGTCGGTGAAGTTAGTTCACATTTCTAAAATCAATTTAACTTTTTAACCTCACTTGTCTTGCTATTAGGCAGAATATTTGATTCAAGTATATTACAAAGAAGTTTGAAACAGCTGCAGAAGCCTGTCTTTTGTTATTGTTGTTGCATCATTGCCATCATCATTAATAGGCTTGATCCTGCAGCAAACATTAATGAAAAATACTTCTCCTTCTGTCTGTTGTTCTGTTGTTCTCCACATTCTTATCTTTTTGTGGGTTATTCCACCCTGTTTTCAGTGTCTGGACTGTATGATGTCAAATAGTAGAATGATGGATGAAATTGAAGGAATTTGGAAGAAGGAATTTGTGACCTAATTGACATACAGTCCTGGTACTCGCCTGGAGGGCGTGAAGAAAACTGCCAAAAACCTTGGTCAAGATAGCTGGTGTCAGGCCAAAATTCAAACCAGGCAGTTCCCAAATGCAACTCTGGAGTGTTACCATTACAATAGCCCTACTTTTTTCTTCCTTTGCATTTGTTTCTTCTCCCATTCTCATTATGTTCCACTCAGTAATTCTGTTTTCTACATGATTTATTTTAGAAATCTTGGATCTGTTTCTGACTCCTGTCATTTTCAGACTTTTCTTGTTTTTTATAAAGTATTTAAAAATACACCTTTGCAGATGTAAAATATGTATAAAAATTACACAAAGACAGATTGAATTGTGAAGTGTGGCAATAGAGGAAAAAGTTGCTATGACGAATTTCAAATGGGGTCACTAATATTCGATGCTGGTGTTTGTAGATACTTGGGGTGGTGAGATGGAGGAGATGTCATCGTTGTGGCGCGGAGTTGGCGCTCTGCGGCTGCAGTCGGGCAGACAAGTGCTGCCATCGGGCGGTGAGTCCCATGTTGACATAGGCCGGGGAGTTAGTGAATGTGCATGATCCTCACTCACCACCCCAGTTGATGGAAGCTAGATTATACTGTGTAATTTTTAGGTGCAGAATTTCCCATCAGCACTTTTCCTTTCATTTTCACAGATGGTAAATTTTCATAAAGCCCACTTCACAATAAACAGTGTATATACTGTATTACTTTGAATATAATATGCAACTTTTACACATTTTTTTTCCCGCTGAAAAATTGAGATCTGTCTTAAATTTGAGGGATATGCATCTTTCTGTTTTTTCTAAACCCACTTTCAAGAACTCGATATGTCTTAAATTTGTGGGCATCTTATATTCGAAGTAATATGGTATATATATATAAAAGTAAAAAGATAAAGTTGTCCCTATGCTTAACTAATTAAGCACTAAGAGGGAAGATGGGGAATTGTGTGTGTGTGTATATACACACACACACACACACACATACATATATAGACACTGACATGTAAATTCTCCTGTTCAGATGTGTATTCAGATATTGCTCTTAAGCATGCTAGAATTCATTAGAAATTATCAAAGGATAATGGAATAAAAAGTGTGATTAGTTGTTTGAGGAATGCTTGCAGATACACGTCTTGTTTCTCGTAATGTTTAGCACTGTCATTTAGAGTTAGTACAAAAATGGTGTAGCCTAAAACATGGCAAAGAGTTGTGGTATTACACAAGCTTGATTGGCCAGTGACTGTCGTTGCTGTGTGTTTTAGTTAACATTGTCAATTTAGTTTTCAATTTCAGTGGTCCCAAATCAGTAATTTCAGCGTTCAGTTACCTCCGTTTGTAATTTTCTTTAGTCTAGTCTTCAGATCTACAGCTCTCAAAAGGTACCTCGATTAGTGGTTTTATTGAACGTTATTAATAACAATAGCAGAATGGCTTTTAATGATTTAAATCCTGATGCTTACATAAATTATACTTATAAATGGAGTTCCTACCACAAAGAAAACACACTGCATCTCCATTAAAAACAAACATGTTTTAAGGCTGTTTAAAGAAATAATCACTGTTTATTCTGAAAAATCCTATAACAAGTGCATATATTATGTGTGAGTAGAATGCAGAGTTTTTTTATTTTGAAGCAGATGTAACCTACATATTGTAACGTGTTTTGCGTTACCGATCCCACTTCTGACACCAATGTAACGTGTTTACGTTACAGAATACGCCGTAGAGATCGTTAATTGGTTTATTTAACAATCTACAAATAACGGCTACAATTAATTATCACACAGTTGCGGGGTTTCACACTTTATAACCCTAAGCGCATTAATCTGTTACCACTGTTGCGGGGTTTCACACTTTATAACCCTATGCGCAAATCAGTTCACTCTGTCTTCAGTAGTATACACGTTTACAGTAGGGGAGCTTTGTATCACTGTATCACGCGCTCCCAATTACACAATCGCACACACGTCCGGATCTTCTTACCGCGACGGCTGCTATACTCCAACTTGTAGTCGGCTGGCTGTTACTTTATAACTCGGAATGTCTTCGGCGGTAGCCACACTGGAACTCGAACTCGAACCGAACTCGAACTGATCGATACGCACTGTGCATCCACTTATATAGCTGCAGTGCTTGCCTGTGGCGTAATGAGTGCCACGTCACAGTAGGACGTTGATTACGGTTACGTTAGCGTTGCGCGTTACGTCACCGCGTGACGTCACCGCGGAGGGGAGTGGGAGGGAGCGCTTCGTTACCGCCACGCACCTGTGGCCTGAGTCGCCACGTTGCTGCTGGGTAGGGAGGGGGTCTCCGTTCCGCAACATGTTACAATATATAGTCACTATGTCAAGGCTCCAAACTTCTTGGCTGTGCAAAAATTTAAAAACTCTACAAAATCGCTGCTTTACATTTACAAAATTGGATTGATATTGTCATGTATTTAGTGACTAGATACATGGTTTGTATTATTAACTGGATTTATTGTACTCTTACAACACGTAACTGCAAAAAAATTATAGCACTCTTGCTGATTCATGCGGTTTACAGTTCATTGTAGCACACACATAGTTTTCTCAGTCTGCTGTGTCTTCGATAGTTGTCTCCTGGTAACATACAAAAGACAACAATATAGATAACTCCTCATGGTCGTAAATCCTGGCCATTGGCTCTTAACCGCATCTATCCACCTCAGGCTACTGCTCACTATCACAGGCTAGCACTGACTTCTTGCTCATATACCTGTCTGTCTAACCAGTCAGAGAGTGAGAGTCAGTGTCAGAGCTGCTTTACAACTGGCGGTTAACTGTCGATTAATTGGTCTTTGCATCAGGCCCCTTTAGACCCCCGACAAGTATTTTTTTCAACTGAACACTTGCTGTTATAGTTTTTATGTAACATCCTCTTTAACAAGAGGATGGGTCTGTTGTTTGTAATTGCTGCTGGCCCTCTCCAGCATTGTCATTCTTGGGTCCAAGTCCTGCAGGACTCATGACCACATTTTACTGTCTCAGATTCGAGACTCCCCCAACCTGGAGGGGGAACAGTGTGTCCCATTTATATCCTCAGGTCCTGGGTTCCATTTTGTCACCTCCTACAACTCACAGGGCTATGGTGGAAGTATTCGAACCCACCTCCACGTGGGGATCTTTCAGTCTAACCATAGGTTTCCAGTCTTTATATAGCCTGAGCAGGGAAGAGCATACAAAACACAGCCTACAGCAGTTTCTCTGTTGTTGCGGGCACATGATGGATACCGATTGTTGCATAGTAACGAATGTTTGCTTGATAGCGCCATCGCATGTTTGCCATGCCCTTTTTTTACTCATTTTACCTTCTCAGCCATAGTCTGAAATGTATCTTAAAATATGTGTGCACATTTCAGTCACAGCATAATACTGTATATGCATAAACAGGTTAGTTAAACATCAATTCCACTTACAGTGCAGGTACTGAAGCTACTCCCTGACACTCACTCTTTACTGTGGGACTGCTGTACCTTTAATTATTTGTATTCATTGGGTGTCAAGCTATGTATACCCCTCCCACACAGTATTCAACTCTTTCATATGAAGGCCAAGCCATCTATGTATCATTGCTGATACAGCTCTTGTAGGATTGGTTTATCTGGCTAAGTAATCATTGATACAAAAATCAGTAAGTCCATTTTGTGCCGAAATTTAATGTGATAAATGTAAATTTTGCATTGACTGTGAAGACTTAAATCTTCTGGATTATAATGCCGTGCAAATCAATAGACATCAATGATGTTTCAGAGGAATAAATTGCGTCCATTTTCAGTGTTAAAGAGTAAGCCAGGAAAAATATCAGCAGTAAGCAATCTGCAAGCAGAGCAAACCATGCATGGAAAACTGGCCCAGAGTCCATTGCAAGAAATGGTCATGACACCTTTCACTCTCCTATAGTTCCATTCAGGCATATATCAGTCTTCATTTACTCGATGTAGTTTGCTCTGCTTGTCAGGTGTTTTCTACTGGCCTTCTTGCTTTGCTTACTCTTCAGACCTGAAGTTGTAAGTACTATGTTCCTCCAGAAAGTTATGGACGGCTACCAAAGTGCGTGTGGTGTTACAATCTAGAAGATTCCAATCTTCCTTTAATTCACGTGTTCGTATCTACACAGTTGAAGTTTCAACACGTAAACCTACACATCTCAATTCAATATGGGCCTATCCTGTGGGTTAGGAATGATTGTACCAAATTGCTTAATAAAAATTAATGACAGGAGATGGTGGAATGTGTGCAGAAGAGATTAGTAGTTCAAGGTTCAGAGTTCCAGCCCTGATATCCAGCAGGAAGTCTCATGTTCAGTTAACTACTCTATTTCATGTAAAAATGCTGTGTAAAACACACACATACGTCCAGCAATACAACGTACGCAGCCACATAAGAAAGACACATCATAAGACACAGTATATACACAATTACGAGTAAAACATAAGAAGAACGACTCCCATAGCAGATGAATGGCGTTACACATGAGTTTGATATATGACATGTAAGATGATAGATCTTAACAAGTTTTAATATATAAATTTTATTATTGAACAATGATGAACACACATTTTATATCATTTTATAAATGGACACTTGATGGCAGGCAGTGCAATGGTTTAACGTGATTGATACACCTGAGGATGGCAGAATGATGTCGAAACATGTAGTGTGAAGTGACTAGTCAAATTGTATGCACTAAAAGACGGTAAATATATATACACATTATGGATATTAAAATTGAAGTTTATTCTGTTTTAGCCTATGTTAGCATAATGTTAATGTTCCTTATCAGATTTTGTCATGGTATTTATTAATTTGCAGCTGCAATGGGTCGCAGTCAATCTACGCCAGGTCTGGTGGAATCTCGAGGTCGAATTCCATTGGAAGATATGTGGGTGTCTCCATTAGAGCCAGTTATTACAGGGGGGTCATCACTAGGACCGCCACCATACTCAGCCAACTCCCTCTTCAGCCCCACACTTAGTCCAACTTCCAGGTAATGAAATGACTGCCATTGTTTGGTTACAGGGGCTAGTAGAACTTAAGTGTGAGAATTCAGATAAGAATATAATGTACTGGGTTATCAACACTACAGAAGCTCTTAAATGATAGGAAGTTTTTATGTGGTAAGAAATTATAGTAAATAATTAACTGGCAAGTAGATCAGTGGTGCCGATCACAATGACCATGCATTCTAAGGCATGAAATGTTTTCGTCTGCTGGGACGCTTGGATTACGAGTTTGAATCCCACTCAAGGCATTGATGTTTGTCTATGTTTTTTCTGTGTTTGTGTTGTCCTGTGTAAGGTAGCAGCCTTGCAACAGGCTGATCCCCCCCCCTCAACATCCAAGGAATCCTACTGAAGGTCTAAGATTAAGAAACTGAAGTGAAACAAGCTTTTTTTACGGTTGTCCTCTGCTCCAGGTTGGAAGAACAGGAAGAACAGGAATAATAAATGAATGGATGGATCACTGGTTAAACATATTGTAACGTGTTTACGTTACAGAATACGCCGTAGAGATNTTTGTTATGAAGTGCTGCAGTTAGTTTCATACTAAATGACTGATAAATGTCAGTTGAAATTCCAACCATAATATAGTCATTTCTGTTTTCATTTTAACCGAATTCAGTATTTGCATATTAACTGAGACATGAATAGCGACAAAATCTACTGAACGGACTGAACAGAAAGAGTTACATCTTCTGAGCTATAACGTTTTGTAGTTCAGAAACAACCCAACAGTTTAGAGGAACATGTCCCTTCCATTTCCTGCTTGCTACCTGCTTCTCATGGTTTCTTGCTTGGCTTACTCTTCTGCCCTGAAGATGAAGGAGATATTTCCTCCAAAATGTTGGCCTGTCTCTGATCTACATGCTGTTACCTCACAAAATACTGTACTCTTCATAGTAATTCCCATGAGAACTTCAAATCCAAAAAACCATAGAAATATTTATGAAATACATATATTAAGGAATGAAAATGCGTCAGTCAGTGTAAGAGAAATTTTAAGTTAAAAATATTGTAGTAGCTGGCTATGAACATGAATAGCATGTAGCTTCATTTATGCTGAAAAAATAAATTAACCATTCAGATAAAAGAGCCAGGAGTAGCATAAGTAGAGATATAACAAATAAAATTTATTGGCTACTCCAGTGGTCTGTTAATTAATATACAGAGTCAGTGTTCAGCTGGTTCTTCTGGGTTCAGTCCCAACCATGACCATTAATTGCAGACAAATTGATAGAAATTCTGATGTATTGTATTGTATTGTATTGTATTTTATTTTCATCCGTTTTNACCACAAGGGAACTATGCATGTTAATCTTCACTATAGCCCCCATTATGTTTGATTACCTATCTCTAGCGTCTGCAACGCTTTCCTCGTGTGTGTCCTTACACTGCTGCTCTTCCTTATGATGTCATGATGTGATGATGCCTAAAATGTCTCGTTATTAAAACAAATTTATATAAAATACAAAATCTCACCTATTATTGTGTTGTAATATTAATTAATAGCATGAAATGAATTAAGGCTACATAATATTTTGATAATGTTATATTTTAGCGTCCTGTTGCACTGATTTTCATCCATTATATGTATACAGTGGCCGTCTTGTAGTGCACTCAGTTTCACCTGTCACTTCACAACATGTTTCGGCAACATAGCGCCATCATCAGGTGTCCCAATTACGTCAATCGATTGCATTGCCTGCCCTCATATATTTTCACAACACCATTTAACATGTTGTGAAGTGACAGGTAAAATTGAGTGCACTACAAGACGGCCACTGTACACATATAATGGATGAAAATCAGTGCAACAGGACGCTAAAATATAACATTATGAATAGTAGTCATACTAGAAGCGTATACCAATACATGAATTGTAAACGTAAACTATTAAATTGCAATGCCAACATGAATTTTAATAAGACATGTTTTTTAAGTGGTGTTGTGAAAATATATGAGGGCAGGCAATGCAATAGATTGATGTAATTGGGACACCTGATGATGGCACTATGTTGCCGAAACATGTTGTGAAGTGACAGGTGAAATCGAGTGCACTACAAGACGGTCACTGTATACATATCATGGATAATATTTTGATGTTGATGCTGGGCATTCAGTAGTATTACTGAAGGAATCGTCTAGACAAGAACAAAACACGCAAAAGGGCACAAAGATTTTGTTGGTGATAATGAGAACTGGTGATGATGATAATGAGTCATGATGATAACAATGTTGGTGACATCAGTAATAATGAGATTTGTAATAAAAGCAGCACAACATAGAAGAGATTGATATGTTTCTAAGAGTTCAGGTTGCTGGAATGTGGACATCTTAAATCTACTCTTCATGGACTTCTTGAATTGCAGAATACACATCACAGTCTTACATGTCTCATAGGTCTCTGCACGGGCGCGTGCGCACCATGGAATCACCCCTGTCAGCCACATCGAGTGGACTGTCTTCAGATGATGAGCGGAGGGGCAGTGGGGTCCAGGCCCCATGCCGTCATGTGCCTCAACCAGGTGCTCGTACAGGTAACTATGAACTGAACTTGTATCCTGCTACAAGACTCATATAGTGCTTCACAGATGAGGTAAGTGGGCCATTCCAACTTCTGATTGTCCACCATTTCCTTCATCACTCAGTATGTGTTCTCTCTATTGGTCTCTATCGAAATATCTATTTGAAATTCCTGTAGTTTTCAATTATAACTGAGCTGTAACTGAAAATGTTTATATTTCTTTCCTGATTTTTTTTATCTTCTCAAGATACATGGCCTATAATTATTCACTTCTGCTACCTTTCATTCTTTGCCTCCATATATAGCTGCCAGCAGGAGGGAAAGGGTGAAGTAGGCATCTGAACCTCTCCAGAATTTTTTTGGAAAAATATTAAAATTAGGAAAGTTGAAGGAAATCAGTCACATATTAATGAAGAAATTTAATTGAATTTTATTTGTTCTTCTGGTCTTCTTGGATGATGAGTATAATTAGGTTTAATTGGCCATAAACATAAGTTGTAGGCACATTTTCTGGGTGCCTCCATTGGAAAGAATCCCATTGGTGCCCATGTTACCTTGCGATCGCTTTGTGAAACTTCAGTTCAGTTTCTTTCCTTCTGTATCCTTTTAATATTCTTAATATGGCACAATTTATGTGTTCAGAGCTCTGAACATTTCTGTTCATCTCATTGTAATGTTTAAGCAATGTGTTGTAACCAGGATAGTTCAAATATGACAGCTCCTTCATAGGACTACCTGCTGAAACTGCCAAAGCTAATGGTGTAAGTACAGTGATGAAGAGATAACACACTTCAACACTGCCAGTATTCCCACATTCCTAGATGTTTCTTTACAGTCTGTCTACTTGTGTCAGTAATGTCACATCATCTTCAAACTGTATGTATCGGGCAATATAAAAACATTATAAAATTCCATTAATTTATTAAACATTCGGCTAAACACCTATTGTATTAATCTGTATATGCATCCTCATTCTTGTGTTATAAAAGTAATGTGTTTATAGGTGCTTCATCAACATGGTTGTTCATGCATTATTGTTGTATTACAACTCATATATCCTGAACATTAAAAGAATTCATGGAAATTGAAATATGGAACATGTATGTGAACAATAAGATATGGTATATTGTCATATATTATAATTTTATTTGACATGAATAAATATTCTAATGTAATTGTAATTACAAATTATGTATATTAGATTGCATTTAAATATATGTTTGGCCATATATGTGTAAAGTAAATATATATTATTATGTTGTTAAGTTTGAGCATATTGGAATAAGTTAAATGAAGATTTAAATACTAACAAATCTATTAATTAATATAATTTTGATAATAATTCTTTGGTTATGACTAATTTATATCATAAATAATATCACAAGTATGATAACCTGGCCTGTCATCTATAACATATCAAATTAATCATGAATATAACTATTTCAGATACCATTAACATCTATTATATCTGCCAATTCATAACCTTTTCTGCCATATAATTTCTAGAGTACTTGTTCAATTATGGCACATGTTTGGCTAATCCTGAATACTGCTGCTAATATCTAAAATGCATCAAAATCTATTCACACCATGTGCAATTAAGAAACAGTCTTCAACCATGTTAGATTAGCAAATTAGTGTTACATGTACACATGAACACTTGGGTGTGCTATTTCTTAAATATCCTTAAATGTCCATGCTACACTTTTGTGGTTGGATGTGGTCTTATTTTCACAGAGGCCTGGGTTAATGGTAAGGATGGATCATGTGGGGATGTAGTGGACAATGACATTTGTTCAGGTCTTCCTTTACTGCACTGGCTTTCCAATAATTGGCATATTACCAGCATTGCTTCTTATCGAACTGTCACTTTATACAAGGAGTGCATTAGGCCTCATCACCAAGCACAGAGAGACAAGAGTGATCAGAAAGCATACACCTCTGGCCCAGAAAATGACATTACTCAGCAGTATGAAGGTCAGGTTCTGTCTGTGCACCAAGATGATGTATGAAGTAGTGGAGGAATAGTTCCATGCATGCACTAATTGGAGGTGAGTTATCAGCTTTATATCTTGGACACTTCACCCCTGAGGAAATGGTCCTTGTCATATACTGGATAGGATGCAATGCTGGGTGAATGCCAGTGTCAGTCTGGATGCACTGCTGAAGAGAAGGACATTCTTTCCTTGTCTGGAATCAAACCCTGACTCCTCTGTGATCCAGGCTGTAGCCTAATAACCATACTGACTGAGCATGCTTGACTCCCATGCACGACAGCATACAGGTCTTAAATGCTTGAAACCGCTCATTAGACAGGATACTTCCTGAATGTCTACCACCCACATTTTCTTTGGATCATATTTCTATACAATGGAGTCGAATTTTATCAGGGGTTATGCCCTCGAAAATCCCTTAAATCACCCATGAAGTACATGCTTTTATACATACCCTGTAATATGTTCAATATATCTTTAACGTATGAGTACATATACAAGTGAAATGTACTCTAATTTTACTTTTAGTTACATAAAATATTGAGAGAGAGAGAGAGAGAAGAATGAAAGAATAAGAAAGAAAAAGAGTAAACCTTAATCCTCGCCATTCATCATGAATATTCCAATGAATAGTCTTTCTCTTCCCCTGACACTGAGTGGCACAGTGCGCAAAATAACCTGCACTATTTACATTTTTATATTTCTTTCCTCATTATTTTGCAAGTATGTATGGTTGAATTCACGTTAAGTTAACTGTATGTATGATGTGACTTCATTGCAGTAGTAAACTCTGGTCTTTTTACCCACATAAAAAATCCACATTTTCAGGCTCCACTTCTCGCAGTTATGGGTCATGTGCCGGAGAAGCTCATGCCGGTTCAGGTGTCCGGTCTGGTACCAGTACCACACTGACTCAGCTGCTAGAAACCACACCTCTTGTTGCATCCTGCGCCAGTGAGCATTCATCTGCCTCACCTGTTAGTGGGGACCTACCCACAGCTCGGGCATCTGCTGCAGGTAGTGTAGTGGCCTTATGCTTTGACAGCTTGTGGTCTGACACATGGTGACACATACTGAAGCTATTCACACTCCAGAATCTCACTGCAGGTACTCGTTATGTGCGAGTCAAAAAAAGTCATGTCATTTTAATGTGCTCAACTAATTTAGACCAATTTGAATTATGTGATTTTATCCTCTGTTATTCTTTTTTTTTTTTGAGGGGGGTGCATGAGTATCGCATGAATAAAGGATAATGTGGATACTTCTCAACCACTTCTGTACTAACTTTTAATGACCATGAGTTTCATTATTGTAATGGCATATGTGTGTAATCCAACCTAAATTTCTTCATGACTAATGTCATTGCTTAAAATTAAAATATGGCCAGAAATCTAGCAGAACCAGATGATTTTAAAATCTTTATTCCCAGATAATACAATTTAATACAGGAGCTATTACATAGACACAACATAATACCCAGCATCTTGCCAACAAATCCAAATTATTTATTTCTCCCAGATAGCCAGTTTAATTGCCATTTGAGAGCAAGAACTTTGCCTTTTAATCTTTTACATTCCACATGTCGATTGATGCTTCCTGTACTTGCATTAGCATTTCCACAGCTTTACAGAAGAGATGACAGTTAATAATTTATACAGTATTTCTGTAAGTAGATGGCAGTAATTTTGATATATCAGTATTTAACAAACACAAGGCGTTCTCAACATCTACAACTAATGGTTTCTGAAGGTAATCTGTGAAAGTAGTGCAAGTTTTCCTGTGCAACTGGATTTGCGCTCAAGCAATGTTGGAATTTCTCTCAGGTAGACGTATGACAGGGCTTGAAAGTGAAAGGGTTGAAACAGGTTGCTAGGGGTTATTAATGCACATTGCTTCTTTTGGCATTAACTGCCCCACTTTTCTTGAATATTTCAGAGAACAGAAATTAATTCAGGAATATCGCGTTCACATTCCATACATAATTTTTTACATACAGTGCAACAGTTTTGGTTACATAGGCAACATGATGATGGCCATGTGCCGCTGAATCATATAGTGAGGAAGAAGGGTAATGAGATAATAAGCTGCATTTAAGATGGAAATATATGTGTAAAAAATATATATTAATGCAACAGGATGCTTAAATATTACAAATTATGTTTTATTATTTATTATTAAATTAAATTATAAATATTATACCAGGTCCACTCAGACTCGTCATGATAAATGACGAACTATTTCAAGAAAATAGCGGCTCTGTTCTAGAAAACCGAAATTAATGGCCTGGGGATTCGTTGCCCTGACCACGCAACACCCTCTATCCACAAAAGTTGGCACTAATCTCACCGACAATCAGCGGTCACTCAGTTGGTATAGTTTGCTTGCAGACTAAAACCATGGAGTTTGTTTTTGTTTGTATCATAAATATTATAAATAAACTACGGTTCAAAGCATGTTATCCTAGGTGATATTGTAATATAATTATCACTATGAAATTTCCTGTGACCAGAAAGGGGAATTATAAGGAATTACGCAGGTAGAAGAGCCAGTCACGGTGGTCACATGGTCTAAGGCATGAACTGTCTTCTCTCACACAAACACTGAGATCTTGGGTTCGAACACCAGTCCAGTATGGATGTCTATAATCGTTCATTCTGTGTTTGTATTGTTCTGTGCATAGGAAGCAGCCTTATGACCGGCTGATGCCCCATCCGAGGAGTCCTACCAACTGTGTATAGATTAAGAAGCTGAAAAAGCGACCAAGGTCCACAAGGGCTGCAGAGCTATGCATACGTAGATAGATGCATGCAGAGGAAGTGTAACACCTGAGAAAGATGTGTAGGTTTTCAATCTGCGGCACTTCCATCTATGGCCTCAGTATAATATCAGTGAAGGATATGGATCATACCCCAGTAGTTGATTAGTAAAAGTTAAGATAAAAAGGTTGAGGTTTTCCCTGTACTAACTAATTAAGCACTACGCCATGGAGACATATGGGAGAGTGGAGGTATAGCTCCATCATTCTTGACCTCAGCACTGGATGGAGGTCAGTGGTGAGCTTTGTGCCCATAGCCCATCGTTACACCAACTGAGCTTCCACTCCAGCAAAATGTGTCAGGATTGCTGAAGTATGAAATTTTTATGTTAATAGAAACATGTTCAGTGTATCGTAATGTCATACTTTTTCAGGCCAGCTGTTGCCGTGCAACAGTATAACTCAGCTAGAAGGGGATGATGAGAGGGAAACAACATCACTAATGTCACATGAGGCCTTAATCGCGGAGATCAAGCGTCTGCGTGAACGACTCGTTACGTTGGAAACAGAGAATGCATCCATGAGCATCAAGTTGAGTCAGCAACAGTGGGAGGTGCGTTCCTGTAACATAAGCTAGAAACTTGTGTAGAGATATCATTTCTTAGACTACAGGTCATAGAAGAAGAGACATATGAAATGTTTTGTGTTATCTTTGTCTCCTCTGATTCTCACAAAATCCAGCGCAATTCACTTTCTCTCACATATATGCTTATATGCGTAAAGGAATAGGCTAAAAGGAAAAAATGTCATATATAATTGTACCTCTTCTCTTTCCTACTACAGACCTAATAAGGAACACCTGAAGGTGTAGTATGAAGTAAACTCTTTATTCGTGTCAATATGTAGAGTAGCCATAACTGTTAAAGCAATGGACAAGTATTGCAAAACGTTTCTTGATAAAATTCAGACGTCATTATCAAGTCATTTAATTATGTGACTGTACTAAGATAAAAGGCATGATGAAGTTGTCTCTGAACTTAATCAAGTACCACACCATTAGGACTTATGGAAAGGTGGAGGTATAGCTCCACCATTCTTGATCTTAGCACTGTCTGGAGGTGAGTGGTCAGCTTCATGACCCTGCTGTTTCATCACTAGGTAAAGAGCTCATGGTAATCAATGGACAGGATGCTGGGTAGACCTCAGAGCCGCTCTGGACCCTTCGAAGTAGAGAAAAATCACTTTCCACTGCTGGGAATCAAACCCTAGCCATTCAGCCCATAGCCTATTGCTATACTGACTGCACTATCCTGGCTGTACACCGAGTGTACTGTTGTTTCTGAATTTGAATATTCCTTGTCTAAAATTTTAGCTACTATATATTCTGATGTAAAATGTTCTCAAACATTTTATTTAATAGACTTTCCTCCTTTGTGGAAGGCACAATTGGAGATTACCATTGTGGATTTCATCAAGGAAGATTAACTAATGATCAGATTTTCACTATATATGCCAGATCCTTGAAAAATATAATGATATTCAAATTGAAACACATTGTCTCTTCATTGACTTCTGATCGACATATGACAGTATCACCATATTTCTTCTGTTGCTATAACTTTTGAAGCAGCTGGCCACATTTAATTAAGCTTCATGTAATCCGCATGCTAACACACCATATGCTTAATGCTTCCATGCTATCATGAATATCAGCATCATCCCTCTCTGATGCAATATAGGCCCACAAACTTAAAAATGCTTCATGGTGATATGCCTTCAGAAAACTGATTAGGTAAGTGACTCCATTGAAATGAGTCCTTCTTGGGAAGCCACCAGTTGCTCAGTTACTGAAAAATTTTTAGCATATTATGGGACCCAAATGTTCATTGCCATGTTCACAAGAACCTGTTACTCTGTTGGGGAACTTAAGTTGTCTTAAATTTTTAATATATTTTTATATGGTATGTTGGACATGTACACAATTTGTGTATATAGTTAAATATTAAATTGACTTGTTCTATATCTGGAGGCTGTATTGCAAAATGTGGATTTCTGGAACCAATAAAAATGAATGAATGAATGAATGAATGAACCTGACACCACTCGCTATTCTGAGCCAGATAAATCCAGTCCATATTACCCCATCCTATTTCAGCAACATCAATCCTAATACTATCCTCCCATCTGTGTCTAGATTTTCTCAGTCCTTCTGGCTTTCCCACCAAAACTTTATATGCATTACTCTTTCATTCCCATGTGTGCTATGTTTCCTACTCATTTCATCCTCCATGACTTGATCGTTCTAATTATATTTGTTGAATGGGGCACGTGGTATTGTAGTTGACTGAGGCACTATGCTACAAGCTAGAATGTCGTGGGTTCAGTTCCTGTTGAGGTCATTGGATTTTTCAGTTGACCTGATGCTTACTGCAGCACTGTGGCCCTGGGGTTGACTCAGCCTCTAACAGAAATGATCACCAGGAATCTTCCTGGGGAAAAGGGTCGAGAGCATGTAAGGCTGACAACCTTACCACCATCTGTGAGTCAGTTGTCTAGAAAGTGTGGGAGACTCAACATCTGATGGCATTATGGGCCTCCACAATCTGTTACAGGGATAGTTTTATTTTTTTAATCACATTTGTTGAAAAGTGAAAGTTATGAGGCGCCTCATTAAACAGGTTTCTCCAGCTTCCTACTATTTTATCCCTCTATTCTCATCAGCGCCCTGTACCCAAATACCTTCTTACCTAATGTCAGTGACCAAATTTTACACCCATATCTTCAGAAACAATGTATAATTTTTTAAACACTGACTGATCTACTGAAATTCTGTCTCCAGGTTGAGCATCGCCTAGCTGAGATAGAGATGCAGATCTGTGGGGCCAGTAGTGGTGGGAGCAGCACGGAAGACAATGAACGTAATCGTGAATCCATCATTTAACACCAGAGACCGCTGCTGCCTGGTGTCCTCACCACTGGCAGCAGCCATCACAAGTCTCGCATAGTATCATCACATCCTGTTCATCACAAGCCCACTCAATTAAACTTGGCCTATGTGCTGGTACAGTTTTGCTTGTTTTGTACCATAGTGAAGTTGGAATGCTTCTTGGCCATTCTGTGTGCCAGGCAGCTCACTATACATAATACTTTCATTAGGATGTGCGGTCAATATGAGTGGTACCAACACTCCAGTTTTTAGGTACACAGACTATGTTTTAGACTAACACAGTTTGATAAAATGCATTTCTTTTGGAAACAATTTTTTTATGTTTATGTTCTTCCCCCTTGAACTTCTTGCACTGAGCATAAGGCTCATATTTGATAATCAATATACTATTTGGATATTGACACAGAAGGAATCAGAAGGGAACATTTTTGTCATTGGGGCTAAGACTTATGGACCATCTTAGCATTGATTCAGAATTTGTGTTACCATTTAATTTAATTCTGCTAAAATTAGTTAAGCACAGGGACAACTTTACCTTTATAAAGTATATAAATACCAGTTCCCTTATATTTTTCATGCTGGATCACTTCCATTATACTGCCAGAATTTCGGGTATAACTGCAATCAGATGATGCATTCTTGACATGGTAGCACAGTCATCTCAGAGTAGCCTCCACTGTGTTAACAAAAGACATTCTAAATATTGTTACTTGGAAATCATCATGCTGTAACTGGCTCAGATTAATGCATGATATTTATACAGTGGCCATCTTGTAGTGCACTCAATTTCACCTGTTACTTCACGACATGTTTCGGCAACATAGTGCCATCATCAGGTGCCCTAATTATGCTAATCTATTGCATTACTTGCCATTATATGTCTTTATAAAATTATTTAAAAAGTGTGTATTCGTCAACTGTAATAAATTTACACACACTCAAACTTGTTAAGATTATTCATCTTATTTGTCTTAATTAAAACTTGCATGTGGTTCTTCCACTATGACGGCACTATGTTGCCAAAACATGTCGTGAAGTAACAGGTGAAACTGAGTGCACTACAAGACGGCCACTGTATACATATCATGGATGAAAGTCAGTGCAACAGGAAGCTAAAATACAACATCAGATTAATGCATTACAGAGTTTTGGCTGTATTGGCTGTAATAAATGATTTGTCTCAGCAATTTTGGAAAATTCTATCACTGTACCTATAAGGCAAAGGGATCACTAAACGAACCACCTGCTTTAACATCCAGAAGCTCCTCATTTTGCTAATGTACTCTATTTATGTGTTTTATATGATTCTCAAAATGAACAGCCATTATTCCTTTACATAACATTATGAACTTCTCTGTTCAGTAGTAACACTCTAGATTTGTATTCAGAAAGTGCTCAGTACTAGTCCTGGCCAAGACATCCTTTGTCCTGACTTAGTTTTTTCTGGTTTTTCTGAGTCCTTCCAGGCACATGCTAGAATGGTACCTCAATTAGTCCACGAACACATCATTCCAAATCCTTTCCAGTTCTCATATCATCCTAACACTTGACACAATGTGGTATCGATACTGAAAGCATCACCAAATAACCAACCAAACTCCTCACAACATTAACTGGTTGATCTTCTTAATAAACACACAGAGTGTTTTCTGTGTGGGAGGAAATTAATTTTTTAATCATATATAGATACGCTTCATGCTTAAAAGTGTTATGAATTCTTCTATTCTAAAATCACAAAATGTTTGCATGAGCCAACAATGACTGTTAGTGCCATAAAGGGCGTGGTAACCAGTAAAACTGCTCTGACATACATTTCATCCAATCTCGAATATTGTCTTCTAGCCCTTTGCAAGACCACCTTTGCTTTGTTTTAGCATCAGTCTAAAAATTCTGTTACAACTTATCTTTTCAATTGTATGTGAGTTATGGACTTCATTTAGTTTTTTTTCCTAGAACATTCTCTATACAGAATGTATACATTTGTTACATGTATCTCCATTTCCAAAAAGAACAGATTGTTCCATCCAGTTTTGTGTTGTAACAGTCCAAAGCCCCACTTTCACAAAGTCAGCTTGGACTATAGGCTTATGGTAAGTGTATCTTCTCACTGAGATGTTCTGGGGGATGGGTATTTCCTTTATTGGCCCATAGTAGTTATATTTCCATGGAGGATGGACAGAATTGAGTGAGTTTTCGATTTACATTTGAATGTAGGTGTGCAGTTTGCTCAGCGATCTCAAGAGATTATCTCTTAAATGTCACAGCATCTTGATATTTCATAATAAATTTGGCTGGTCAGGGCACAGTGAAGGGCACAGGAAGGTAGCATGGTGCAACTAGATACATATGCAGTGTTAAGGACAATAATAACTCTTTCTTTCCCCACATAATAAGTGACTTGTGTTTCTCTCAATCCATAACACATTGAGCAATATCTTGAATTACTTGTCATTGTATGTACTAAATGAATGCCTTCTGAGAAATTGAAAGAAATGTGGTCTGCCACATGAATATGAAGCTATGGATCAAGGGCTGACACTTTCAAAATTGTTTGGCAGTAACACAGAAAGATTGAGTTGTACATATGGCAATGTGTCAGGAGATGTCAAAGAGATACTTTTTGAAGGTGCACACCACGAATATAATTTGTAGTAATTTTGGTAATTACTTTGATCTCCTTGGAAATGCCTACAATATATATGATAAAATACAAAGAAATAGATAGAGCTACACCAAGAACTCCTTTCTTTTGTCTTGTTTATCCAATATAAGATTTCTCCTGCCTCTCCCTTAGTCAGATGTGTATCACCCCTAGAGTGATTTGCAAACCTCAGCAACGTCATCATTCTGTTCAAAGGGCATAAGTTGGTTCTGTAGTGTATAAGGCCAGACATTGCTATGTATCTGTGAGAATGTGACTACATGGGTTTTTCTGACATTCAGTTGTTGGTGTAAGATCTCTGAAGCATAAAGGTAGGAAACCTAGGAAACACTGTTTTCCCTGGATTCAGTGACCTGTAATGCCCATGTTGTGCACTTATTCCACCCTGCCCTGGATATGACAGTTCCCTGGTGCCTAAGTGAATAGGACAGTTACTGCTGCTGATGTTCATACATGAGCCATCAGCTGTCTAAATACTAGATTCATAATTTCATCTCACAGCTGAAGCAACAGAGCAGCGACATCTATACCACAAATTATAGATTACCACCAATTTCTTGCTTCATTTGTAATTCAGAAGTTACAAATCCACTATATGTAGCAGTTGAACTTCAGAAAGTTGAGGGAAGTTAAGTGATGCTGAAAGAAAGTTGTTAAAAAGAAAAAGTGCAGATGATTTACTTTGAAAGGAAGAATGTCCAATGGCATTAAAAATATTAGATGGTATTCAATATTATTATATTAATTTCTTTATTGTTTGAAGTCATAAATATTTCAGCTCTACAATTTGACACAAAACTTTCAACAAAGCATTCTGTTTAGTAATCACTGTATTCATTTTACGTATATTTACATTTTATCCAAGTATACATAACCTCATGATTGTACAGTATTTTCATCTTATTAATGCATCTGACTTTCAGACCTTTATGTATTACATCTTTAGTTTCTTTTAATTGTTCCACTGCCGTATAAACACTGCCTGGTAAATGAAAAAAGCCTTTCTAAAAGAATAAGAGAACATTTTTAAACTGTTTAGTATCAGACATATTGCACTAAAATGCTTGCATTATTAGCTTCTATGAAATTATCTCAACACATTTAATGTGTAATTTTTCATTTTCATAGAGATTTGTTATGGAGTGCAACATAATGTGAGATAATTTTGTGTCAGGACATCATACTCCTTTAATCTGTTGAGTAAAATCCCGGTTATCCAGTATCCAGCCATCTGAAATTCTCATTCAACTTGCAAAAATTTAAAAGAAAATTTACAGTTTTATAAAGTTGCTTCAGAAACAAAGTTGCAATGTGCATATGTTCACTCACTATACAGTAGTTTTCCCAGCTACCACTGCAATACCTACCCACTGTCCTCCATCACACAGGTATCATTACAGTAGAGGCTAATTGTATTTATGAGAGTGTATCAATGATCAATCCTCTGTGCCATCTAAGAAGACTGCCATGCAAGAACTGGAGTGAAAATATGTTTTGTCTTTCTTTGAGAGTTTTCTTCTGCAACCAACTTGCCTCATTGCCCACACATACTGGATAACTGGAAGTTTACTGTATAAATTTCCTTTCTTTTTAGTAATAGTCTGAGAACGAAGAGGCGTATTTTCACAAAATAATTAAGTATGGTAACAGCTAGAAACACGCTATCTCTGAGGAAATATTTGAACCTCCTCTTTCAGTTAGATACAAGTATGTTGTTAAGAATAACGGAAATCACTGCATGTTGGTGGTGTTCATCTGAGCTTGAAGAACAGAGCTCTGGCTTGTTGTGTGTTCCACTGCCCAGATCTTAAAACTGATTCTGATTAGAACATTTCATTTTATAGTTATGACTCAAAACTGTCTTCAATGCTAATGGTTGTTTCAAATGGTAGATCTTGTAGTAAGTGGGCAGAGAGTGTAAATGACCTATAATGCTATGTGATCGGTCCTCATTAGCCCAATAATGGCTGTAATTTTCTTACTGATTCCTTCTGTCAGAACTAGCAAGTATTATCTGCTACACTTCCATAACTTTTCATGCAGTTTTAATATCATAGCAACCTTTTAAACCATAATTATTGATTATTAAAATTAAGTGATGAAATCGCTTTACTTGACTCCATTTGAAGACTGTAGAAGAATCATGGTCAGACAGATTTCTAGCAAGTTATTCTTTTATCGTTTTTCATAATTTTGAAACAAGTCCACTGTTCTAGTTATAGTTCGGGACCAAACTCTCATAATATTTCGTAACAGTGCATGAAGAATATTCCCCTGACAGATATTCATGTCATCCTCTTAAGACCAGTTGTATTGTGCATCACGTTTGTGTCACAGCAACACAATCTTCCTTGCTTGCACACAGCAGTAGACTAACTCCATGGTGAAAAATAGAAGAATGTGGAGAAGGAGAATACAATAATACCAACAATAGAAGAAGTTCAATATTCCTTTTTCTGTGATAATGTAAACTGTGGGACTGGAAATGTGTCTCGAACTTCCAGGTTGAAAAGTGATTGCCATAAGAAAATCTTACATGTATTGTTGTAGTATTTTATGTGATGTAAGTTGAGTGAAGTAACAGAATTTATCACTCCCTGTTTTGTAGCAAATTTGTGGGTCCACACCATAGAGAGTTCTGGTACACTCCTAATTATAAAGACCCTGTATCTGGTGCTTACATTAACATAACCTTACATTTTTGTGTATGGTGTATGGGAAACAAAATTATCAATTCTTAATGACTCCTAAGACAAATGTTTTCAAGGCCCTACAGTGATTTTATTACAGCTATCTGTGCAGAAGAGAGTCTGCCATCCATGGAAGGTCAGGCTTTCATTATCTACTACATGCATGTGTCCTCCTTTTACATTTTAAATTCATTCATTTCTCTCATGCTTCCCCCCAGATTATGCATAGTCCTTAGTTGTTCTGATCATTAATGGATTTAAAAAGCAAATATAATTTTGAAACAAAATTATGTTCTCTGCTGGTCACATAGAACACTCTTCAAACAAAGGCTGCAAATTAATATGTTGGTTCTGTTTTGTAAGCTATTATATATAAGAAAGTAAAGTACTTACTTTACTCATTTATAGTCTGATTTCACTGAGCTTGTTCAAGCAAAAACTTTTACAGTTCCAACA